AGTGCGAAAAGAAATCCCCGTCCTGGCGTGCCAAGCGGTGCTGAGCGGCCGTGTGCGCGGGCCGCCCGGTATGGGTCCACCTGCCACACGGCCCGTGCGCCGCGCCACGCCACGCCACCGCAATGCGAGGCATGAATGAGCGGACATTTGGTGAATGGGGCGCGGTGCACAGGATGCTGCAAGGACGAACAAGAGCGGATGTCCGGCGACCAACACACACATCATACGTTGTAAACGTAACACGCCGCCCGGGCTCGGGCCGGTCAGCTGAGCTGGAGGTAAGGAAGGTCCTCAAGGAGCTCGCTGTCTGGAGCGGGAGCTGGGAGGAAGGGTCCTCCTCCTGCGCCACCACTTTACTGGTACCGCAAGTGTGGCTGCCCTGCCGCACCTGCTGTGCCAGCAGCGTCGGAACCCCCCGGGGGCCCTTATGTGTCCTTCCCTTCTCTCTCTCTGTCTTTCTCTCTCTCTCTCTCCAGCACGAGACCAACAGCGACAGGTGCGCGCTCGGAAGGAGGCGGCACCGCCGGGCACACGGCACACACAGTGCGGCCTCTGTGTCTGATAACACGCACTGACGTCACTCTGGCAGACAATTTGAGATTGGGTGATGGAGGAGAGGGGGAAGGGGGAGAAATAGTTGGATAGACGGTGGTGAGACAGGGCAAGGTGAGGGAACCAGCAAGAGGTTGAAGGGGGAAGGGGGGGGCGCAGGCGGCGTGTCCGAGGCCCGCTTGCTTGCACTGCCGTGCTGCTGCCGAAGCCGCCGCCGCTGCTCCGCCTTGCGGAACACAATAAAAACAGACGCAAAACTGGGTTGTATACACTTTAAGAAATATTTATAATAAATAAGTTGACCAATAATACAACGTCACAGGCGCGAGGCAGCGGTGGAGACCACCAGGGTATTTCCACGTGCTGTCAGATGACACTCACACGCTGAGCCACACTCACACACACTCGCACGTACAATGCGGGCTCGCTCCCCCCCCCCCAACCCCTTTTCCCCTCCCGGCGCCTACACACTCGTCTGGCGTGGGCAGGTGCGAGGAGTCCAGGCGGAGCCCAGCGCCCTGCCCTTCCTTCTGCCGGCCGACCGGGCACGTGGGCCAGACAGGATGCCTTCCTGCCTCCACACACACACACACAAACACAGACACACAAAACGCAAAAAAAATCTTCCGTAAAGGGCACCAACAATCTGCAACGAAAAGGGTCTGCAAAGTGTCTAGGAGCAGCACGAGCACGACGACGCGGTTCTCGAAATGTTCGCCTTCCTCGCGTCACCCACCTCCTCCTCCGCCCACTCCTCCTCGTCTTCCTCCTCCTCGTCTTCCTCCTCCTCCACCAATTTTCGTCCTTCCTGCGGTGCGCGGCTGCGCGCGGCTCTCTAACTGTACAGCAGAGCGCTGCTCCCCGCCCCGCCCCGCCACGCCCACGTCCAAGGTAGCAGCGTCAGTGAGTTCGCCGGGCGGGCCGGGCAGCGCGCTTCAAGCCTTGGCTTAAACTTTCTCTAAGCACGCACCTATTTCGGCGGCTTAGGCCTGCAAGGCCTGCCTGCCTGCGCCCGCGAGTGTGCAGTGGTGCGGCCTGGGCGCAGCGCAGAGCCAGAGCGGTCGAGCCAAACATCTCAACCACCAACTGCCCGCCCGCCTTGCCTCGCCCTGCTGCCCTGTCTTTCTCAATCCCTTTTCCCGCAAGGAGAACAACGGGGCCAAACAAGACTTTGTCTCCCAAAAGTGGATACAAACAAATAGTAAAATTGCTCGCTGTTTATTCGCGAAATACGCTACGTTATCGTTTGGCACAGCACAACGGCCTACTTCGCTGTCTCTCTCTCCTTCTCGCTGATGAGTCACCCTTCTCTTATACACTTTCTTTCCAAGAGCGACGGAGACAGCTCGACGGCGTTGCACAATGTTGTCGGGTGCCACACCAACCACCACCGACGGGGCCGGGCAGGGCCGGGGCCTGGCTATCCGTTACACGAACCACCAAGAGACGCGCATTAAGCCTTTACACACACACCACACACACACACAAACACAACACACATACACACACACTACCAGTATCGCATGCGGCAAAAAGAAAAAAAGGAAAAACAGCATCTTCTTTTTTGACGGTGTGCGCGCGCGCGCGTTTGCAATCCAAAAAGGAGACCTATATAATGCGATTACAGGCCACCAGTGTTTGCTTTTTCTTACCCACCTTTCCCCTACCCTTCCCCCCTGCTGCTGCTGCTGCTGCTGCTGCTCCCTTACCACCTCCCTCCTGTAACACACCGCCTCCCCATCGCCTTCCCACCATCTCCATTTGAGCATTAAACGCGCGAGGCCTGTTGACAATCAAGATTGATTCTTTTCAATGCAATCCCGGGCGGGCCGGGCATGCAAGCAGCAGCAGCAGACGTCGTGGTCCAGACCGGCGGCGGCAGGGGAGCCGAGCAGCAGAGCAATGATACGCCATTTGCCCCCCTAAAGACACGGCAACAGCTGCGGATCAATCCCCGTGAGCGCGCGCGCGCGCGCGGGACCGCGGAGAACAAGGAGACGGCGCAGCGGAGAAGGAGCAGGAGGAGCAGGACGACGAGATGACGGAGGAGAAGGAGAAGAGGTGGAGCAGGCGAAGCGAACCCCAAGCGCACGTAAATAGACGCCCAGTAGTAGTAGTTGTAGTGGTGGTGGTGGCGGCCTCAATCACGAGCAATGACTGTTTGTACAGAGCGCCGCCGCCGCCGCGCCACATCACGACGCCACTGGCGTTTAGGTCTCCCGCCGCCGCTCCACATCAGTTTACACGTCATTTCACAAAACAACAAAAAACACTACAACTACTGTACAATTCCGAGGTAAAAGAGAGGAATAAAGAGAAAGGAAAAGGCCGCCGCCACCCGGTGGTACGGCACCACCGCGACGACGACGACGCAGAGGGGCGCGCCGCGCCCGCCGTAACGGAAAGCCAAAGCGGCAGCAGCGGTAGCGGCCAAAGGCAAAAGGCATGATTCTCTAAGAATGACGCGGCGGTAATCTGGACAGAATTAAGCGGATCATGAAAAACAAACAGGCGGCTGCTGGGAAGGAGGGAGAGGGAGGGAGAGAGTGCGCAGTGCGCACACACAAATACAGAGAGGAGGAGAGAGAGAGAGAGAAAGAGAGAGGGGGCCCAGAAAAAGTCGCGCCGTCGTCGTCGTCGGCCAGGCCTACAATTGATTTGATTGTGCGTGAAATGGTGGAGCCGCCGCACCGCGCCACGCCACGCCACGCCACGCCACGCTTTGCTCAAGGCAGCCAACCCGCCCCGCCCCCCTCCAGTTAGTGATCGGTCCAGCAGCAGCAGCGGCAGCCAGCAGACCGCGCAAATCTAATTTACCTCTGACCTCTGTGCCTGGCTTGGCCCTGCAACCCAGTCCCCCCACCGCCACCTCTCTTCTCCGGACCCGCAACCCAGTCCCCCTTCTCGGTCGTGCCTTGTTAGCCGTCACCAGCCTTTGTCAAGGTGAAGCCAAATCCATCACACACACATACACACAGCAAAAACCAAATTGAGCCATTTACGCTACCATTAGTCGGCAAATTTCACGCTCTAACAATAACAGGAGAAAATTCATAGCCACGCGAACGATTCACACTGCGTACATAAATTGTGAACCGATTGTGAACGATTTCCTTTCGTAATGCCAAGAAACTGCGTTCGTGGGCTTGCAGACAGAGCAGCCAAATGCGACGCAAGGTTTTATCACAGAGCCGACGCGCCTCCGCCCGCGCCCACGACCATTTCCTACAACTTGTCCACAAGCCAAACCGTTTCAGCGGCCAGTGACACCGCCTGGCCTTAGCGAGTTTGCCCAGGACGGCGGTGGTCTAGGGGCCGCCTCTTAGCGAGTGCCGGCGAGGCGGGCCCCGGCCCCGGCCGTCTTGGTGCCACCCGGCCACCCGCACCCGCGGAGGGCCACCCGGGGCCCCACCAGGCCCGCACCGGGGGCCCCCCGCACATCCAGGGCCCCGCCGAAGACTTTCGACGGCGCCTCGCTCTTTTTTTGGACACTTCTTTA